TGACTGTTGAAAGCTGTACTACTTCACTAACTCAGAATTTCTACTATGCAGGTCCTCTGCTCGTAGATCCTATTAAGATTTATTTGTGTAATGTTATGTTTCATCAAATACCTCGTCACACTTCTAATATCCAGATAATATTAGTATAATGTGATTTACAGGGTTACAATCTCAGAAACAGACAGGGTTTACCATAAGTTGGGTACAAAGTTTTAGGTAAATTCAAATTCGTCGACAGTGAGATTTAAACCCAAATCTCTTGTATGGTAGTCTAGCAATCTAACCACTACACTAAGATCACCAGACCTTTTCTGATATATCTTTTAATTATATGTACAACCTATTATTAATATTGAATTTATTAGTAGAACATAAACAAATTGAACCTAATTCAAATCTACTTACTATTGCATACTAAAAATCAACAGTAGTTTTTGCTTCTTCTGGTTCAAAGAAAACTATTCGCATATCTCTATATTATATCAATTATATCAAAAACTAATAATTGCTATTAGTTCTGAGTTATGATAGTGCCTTCTATTATCTGAAATGATTTTAATCTATTGTAGTTTGGGGTCTATTGTTATAAATACTGCTTCAAAATATAATGCAGTAAACTAAGCATCTTGTTTTGTATCAGAACTCCAATGATTATAGGCCTGAATATCTAATTTTTCATTATTATTTTATCTTTTTGGAATACTAAAGTTGTATGAAGTGTCTACTTATACTTTCTAAAAAAATTCACTCTGTCTCTTGTACTGTTGCAGACAAAATTTGCATTTTATAATTAACTACAATAATAGCTTCATAGTTGTCTAACTCATGTAATATCGAATTAAATTAAGTATTCAAATATATTTTATGAGTTTGATATGCTAAATAACATGTTAATTGTTCTTGGCATTCTGTGAGTTTATCATGATAGGTATTATCAAGTTTATTTTTAAGATCTTCAAATACATTAAAGAATTTGTTACATTCTTGATACTGTGAAAAATGCTAGTATTTATATTTACCAAAAAGCAAATAATAAATAATGATTTATGTAATTTGTATGATAAGTAATACTGTTTTCACTTACTACTAATTCTTTTTTGTAATATCACTTTAGATAACAGTATAATAACTCTATTTTATGAATCAAATAGTCTTACAAAAAGTTATATTGATAAGTATAAAAAAATTTTTTATTTTAGGTTGTTTGAATTCAAAACTTCGTTTAATATTGTTAGTACAAGAGAGATTAAACAATTATTAAAATAAATAAGGTTCAGTAAATCTAAATTAGATTAAACTATATTTAAACTCAATCTGTTCTTAAATTTTTAGACATATTCATATTCTTGAATTCGAGAGAGAAGCTTTAAAAGTAGGAGATAACATTAAATGAAGCTTTAATTTTAAACAACCTTACTAGTCAAAATCAACAAAATTTAGCATACTAAATAGTAAATTTAAGGGAGGGTATTATTCAGTATACAAGTCATTCTCGTTATAGTGAAATGATCCATTCTATTAATAAAATTTTTTAAAAATTCACTATATTAAGTACTTTATTAGTAAATTCACTATATCGAGAGAATTTTATATAGACTGGTTTTGAATATACTTTACTATATCGAGAGTTTACTTTATGTAATAGGATAACAAAAGTAACTTGTATTATTATTTTTTTAATTAACTAGTATATTTAACTTACTCATAATATTTTATTGAAGTTTGTATTATTAATTATAATAATTAAAGTTTCAAAAGGTTGATATCCATAGTCATTGCATGTTATGCACAATCTACTCAAATCTTCTCGATTCTGGAAATAACTATTTTGTAGGCAGCTCATGAAAGAGGTGTGTTTCATTCCATCTGAATATATAGCAGAAAACTTTTTTCAAAGTGTACTTTTTTGATCTTTTAAATAAAGAATAAGTAATTTTGTTTTTTTATCAACTTCATAAGAACTCATATTTATATTTTTTTTATTATTAAAAAATAATTCAAATTCTTTTTCTTTAACTTCTAGCATTTTTGAATGAATAACTACAGGTCTTTCTAATGCAATACATCCAAGCCTATTAATACAAGAAAATTTTCATACTATATTAATAGTATTAGGAGATATCTAGATTATATTTATTATTATTATTATATTTATATATTTGATAATTATACAACTTTTCTTACTTCTAATTTACCCATTAATTTCTGATATGTAAATTTTTCTACAATTATTAATAGTATACGTATTTTACCATCAATTCCTCTAAAATTTGTATTGTAACTATTATTAAAATAGTTCCAAAATGATTCAGCAGTTGACAAAAATTGTGAAGAAGTATTTAAAAACCTATTTTTATATAGGTTTTTAAGTGTATCATAGTCTTCTTCAGAGTTAGGTGCGTTTGTCCAAAATTCAGCCTATATTTTATTTAATATATTTTAGTTTATTAATTTTTACTAATTTTTTTTTTTATGATTTTAAAATTTCATGCAATAATAATATTTTTTGAAAAGTTGATACTAATAATTAAGATTGATAATATGGCAAATAGCAGAAAACTTGTTTATTAGAGTTATAATTTGAATTAACGAATTGTTATCTGATTTAAAAACTCTAATCAACATTAAAAATCGTGAAGAACATTAGAG